ATATATATAATAATTAAAAATATTTTTAAACAGGTTCAATATGGGTTGCCATGACTTAGAATTTTAAATTACTCTAATGGAGTGTTCGTAATCGTTCGTGAATTCTTTCTCATTCCCAATCTAACCGCCTTCAGTAGAAAAGTAAACTTTTTTGCTTTTGTTTAATATTGACATTTAGTATCGTTTGTTTGATTATAATTTACGTTTAACAAACATGACTGAATGTTAATTGTTAACTACAACCAAACAAGTTTACTTTTCTGGAGGGGACTAAGTTGAGAATAAAAATTTGTACAATTTTTTATAAATAATGAAGAGGCAAAAAACGGTTAGAGTAATTTGATGTTAAAAAAAAATAGTTATAACGGGGCCAGTTTACTGGATCTGAATTTTAAATTTGAAGAAATTCGCGCTGTATGTAGGGTTATATAAAAAAAGGAGATGATGCTTTCTCTATTTAAGGAATAGTTGTGTTCTTTGTGTTGGCTATATGTAAAATTTGAAACAGATATTTTTGGTTATGTTTAAAGCAGGAAGACGTCAATACATGTTTTTAAATCATCTTATGTAAAAATCAAATCAATTCAAAATAACTAAGTTAAAATGGAAGGTAAGATATGGGTTGACTGTATATATTCATTTTAATTATTACTGTATTTTTCAGGTACATCTTTAAAAACACCAAGACGTGCTAAGACTGAAGATGCTCAAGAGGTTTATTACCCAAAAACTCCATACAATATCAGAGCGAGAGTCAAAAAAAGTAAATTAGACTGTTCTTTCGTTTAGTTTGTATGTAATTATGTATTTTTGTAGAGTTGATTGATTTTAATTCTTCAGTTGAAGAACTTGTGGATGATTCTGATAAAGATAGTGATTATACAATTTCTGAATCTGAATCAAGTTCTGATCAAAGTACATTTGATTCAACAGAAGAAAGTGAAGAAGACAATAGTGATAGTGAAATTAAGGCTAATAACAGTGTGTCTAGTAAATCAACAGAGGCAGCAAAGCATGACGATTTCAAAAAGATGGAGAAAATTAATTTAACCAAAAAAAGAAAAATTAGAATGTATATTGTTAACACAGATGATTATTTTTCTGCTCAATCCTCTAAGAAAAGTGTTACTTCAAATAATACCTTAGATAAATTAAAAACTGCTAAGCTAGATCAAGGGCAATTGCAGAAATTACTTCTTAAAGCAAATGCATGTAAACATCATGCAAAGTGCTTCAGTGAATTGGAACAATACAACAAGACTAATTTTATAAAATGGTTGTCTCTACTGCATGAAGGCTTTAATTTACTTTTGTATGGTTTAGGTACATTTATGCACACAACAGTTTATTCAATATTTATATTTAACATTATTTCAGGTTCTAAGAAAAATATATTAACAATATTTCAAGAACAATATCTTACAGAACAGCCTGTTGTAGTTGTCAATGGTTTTTTCCCTAGTCTCACTTTGAAAAACGTTTTAGACAGTATTTTAGTAGATGTATTAGAATCATCTCAAAATCCTGGTAATCACCAAGAAGCCTGTGATATAATAACAGAGTTAATGCATCAAAATGAAGGCATGCATCTCTACGTAATTTTCAATAACATTGATGGAAATAATTTAAGGAGTGGAAAGTGTCAAAATGTTTTAGCTAGATTGGGATCAATTAACAATTTGCACATAATTGCAACTATAGATCATATAAATGCACCCATAAGTAATGGACCATCTTTTAAATTAAAATATTTTATTAATTAAAACCATGATAAATTTATCTTACAGTTTGGGATCAAAGCAGAACTAGTAAATTCAATTTTGTATGGTGGGACGTGACCACTTTTGAATATTATTTGATTGAGACTTGTTTTGAAGATTCAATGCTAGTGCAAAGATCTGGAACTTTGGCTTTATCTTCATTAAACAATGTTTTCATGTCTTTAACCAAAAACGCCAAGAGTATTTATTTAATCATTGTTAAATATCAATTAGAAAATAAAAAGAGTCAGCATTATGAAGGTAAGAAATAAACTGTAGCAATTACAGCAAACAATGTGGTGGCTTTGCACCTGTTTTATATTTTTGATATAAAATATCCTTAAAATAAATAAAAGTGTGTTACACACAGTTGAAATGAATAGAAATATTTAGTCAGATCAAATTGGTTGAATAACGTAGATTTTTTCTCATGTTTTTACTTTTTACTTATTTAAATTTTCTAAACTACTTTTAATTTCTTAATCAATTTTTCTTTTGTTATTATTTTAGGCTTATTGTTCAAGGATCTGTACTGGGCCTGTAGGGAGGCGTTTCTTGTAAGTTCTGATCTAGCCTTAAGGGCCCAACTAACTGAATTTGTAGACCATAAAATGGTTAAATTTAAAAGATCTATTAGCGGAGGTGAACATTTAATAATTCCATTACAAAATAGTCTTTTACAACAGTTTGTCGATGAACAGCCTGTCTGATTTGTTTTTTTAGATATTNACAGCCTGTCTGATTTGGTTTTTTTAGATATTTTTTTTAATAAATTATTTTTTTATAAATTGTTTTTGATTTACATACGACATCACCTTACCTTACACATGTTACCGTATCAATTCATATGGACGTAGATTAGTATTCTTTATTTATTGTTTTTATTAAAGGATTACAATTAAATGTATTTTTGTATATTTTTAAAATCGATGTTTACACATATGATACGCCACTGGAATTAGAGTAAAAGTTCCCAGATATGTTCCTCCTTTATTAGAAAACCTACAATACTCATTATTGCATAAAAAGTGAATACAGAAAATATTCCTTTTGTTGTCTGATTTATGTAACGGTAAGATCATAAGATTTAATTATAGTTTATTGGCTATTAATTGGTTTTTAATTTATTATTTTAAAATTATATTGGGATATTTAGTATGTTTTTATTGGTAGTTCGCGACACAGCTGAGATTAGACATACGACAAACGCCGGAGTCTACCGAACAGCCAGTAGTGCTTTCAGTTGCGTTGGGAAGAAGTTGGTGTAATGGATGAACAGGGGAGCAGTTAATGCTAAACTTCATAAGGTTGCCCTTGCTTTATTGACTCTCGGTTCTTTGTTATAATTAATTATGACATTTGAGTTATTTTTCCTCGTTAAACTGTTACGGTGTGTGTTTAAGTGATTTTAATTAACGAGCAGTTATCAGTGTTGTTTCTGCAGCTCATTGTTGGTTGAAAAACCAGGACCTATTTTTGGATTATCGTATGTTGGAATGGCTTTAGCCAGGTAAGTCCAATTTTAATGTTATGTACTGTATGTAGATATCATAGTCAAGGTTAAACATTTATTTCGGGGGTGTTGTGTGATTTGATTATCATTGAAAATATTGTTAGTTACAGTTACGATTGTCTTGTTCTGATTTTTGTAATTATTATTATCATCATCAAAGTGCATGCGGTAGGAAGGTAGTGAGTTGAATGTGGGTTGATTTTGAAATATTTTTTTGCTAACCGATCATTTTTATGGTTATAACATTGTGTCACCCACCATATTAAGCACCATGTAAGTATGCCAATCTATGTAGAGCACAGCGTGTTGCCTCAATCTAGAGATTTTCAATGACCCCAAAATACAACAACCAATTTATTACCCTGAAATCTTAATAAGTGCTAGTAGCTGTGGTTACATTCTACTTTCTATTATTCTTTTCAGAATTGTTTTTCTGTATTTTAATTACCGCTTTCCCATCATCGCTGTTTTAATAATTGCTGTTGCCTTTTCCAAAAGGGTAAATTGAAATTTCCTTTTTAATTCAGTTTTTTTTAATATTTTGACAAGCTACATTGTGAAAGCACATGCTTAGGTATTATTAAATAATTTTATGAAAAAAAAAAAGCTTTCTTTCCTAGAAATGAAAGGTTAGAACGTGCCTGCTAGCTAATCTACAACACCTTTCTAGTTCAGGGTGAACTTGAATGTCATGCTGTAGAATTAGGTTTGATTGTAATTGTGTTTTGTACCTGTTAGTATTCCAAGTGACAAGTTACTGAGATAACCGAGTCGTTATAGGTATTATGATAACAATTTATCATTAGGAAAGTCATTTGTTAGTTTTCTAAGTGCCTATTAATTTTTAAAACTTAGGCAGGTTTATGTAATCTTGTAGATTCGCTTTAAATGCGAATGTATTAAAACGATTGAAACCTCTAATAAATCTGCAGACGTTACTTTTATGTACCTGAGATAAGTACGAAATTTTGATTCTAATGTAGATACCTACTTACATTGTTTATCTGTTTTACATGTGTACTTCCGAAAAACATTATGTAGATAACCTTGATATTTTGACTGTTATGTAAGAAAAATTGGTGCGTTGGTTTGATAATGAAAGGGTCGAAATTATTAATTCTCCGTGTCGACTATAATTTTCTGTAATACACTACTTTAAAAATATTCAAAGACCCCAAAGTTCCACAAAACGTTTACAAAATTCAAATGCGCTTTGACACCCAAAGTATAATCCCTCAATTTGAGACAGTGGGTGTTGAAACGCGTTTTACTTTCACAAACGTTTTGTGAAATTTTGGGGTTTTTGAGAGTTTATTTAGTCATGTTCCGCACTATTCAAATGACATTTTAAAAATTTGAAAAGATTTCCTTTATACGTGCATGTATATGAATAATAGAATAATATATTCCTACTTATATAAAATATGCATATCGTAACGCCTATAGAGATAACATTTAACTTGGCAACATCATTAATTTTGTATGTATTTTCTACTACGTACCTAGATATTATCAACTTGTAAAAAAATCATTTCTGAAAAGTTAAAATCGGTTGTCAGTCGATTAAATCATTATTGGTAAGTGGCTGCCTAATTAATAGAATAAATCAATAAAAAAATAACCCATTTGTAGTCTGATTGTAAATTCAAAATTGGTGACGGCTTTAGACTGTATATAAATACTTATTGTAATAAATGTTAACTCTATAAATGGTTTACCTAGATGCACAATACAAAAAGAGAATAAAACAATTTGTCCGTACTTTCTAACCGTTAATACCTAGGTACTTATTACAATGAGGGCGCGGTTAGTGATAGGCAATTTGCATTTACAAATAGCTCATCCAATTAATTTTCATTGTTACCAGTCAAGTAAAAAGAAAAAAATCATTAATCACGTTTGAAATATGATTTGTTCAGATAATGTTAAAAGTGACTGTATGTCGTACACGCGCCGCGGCGTTTTACCCGAATATAGAAACAAGGTTGCAAATATTTTAGAAGTAGGGGTCCTTCCTATTTCTGCCACATTATTGCTACGTATTTGGCGTAGACGATTTCCAAATAATGTCATATTAACCTTCATGATATTATAAAGATTACGTAATGCCAGCCAGACACGTTGCTATTTTTTAATAAATCCGAGATATTATTATCATCATCGCGTAACTACATAGGTACACGGCAATGTCTGTATCTATCTTGCAATTATGTATACGTATTGATGACTATTTAAAGTAAGTATTTGTGTGGTTCACATTACATTTCAAACTCTTCCTCTGAAAGTACCTAACTGATTTTTAATATAAATTCCCACATTACAGATTTGACGGTTGTACAGTCGAGTGAAAAATTACCCTGTGCACGTTGGGTTGCCTAAAATTAATCATACAATTTTAGCTGTAATGTGATGCCCTAAAGGTAGTGCATCCTTTTTTATGTAAAATTAACCGAACATGTACCTATAGGAATATGTTACATTCTTGGTCAGTAAATTATGGAAACTACTGTCTTATTCGACAGGTAATAATAACAATCAGTAGATAAGGACATATTTTCTTAAGTCGATATTGCATATGTTTCTGGAGCTTCCTATGGCGTGCTGATGAGATCAAATAAGATAGAAATGCGTAGTTACAAGTTCTTATTGTCTTGTCAAATTTTCTTGTGACGTATGGCCAATACTTTCGATTCTACCTGTATTTTTGTACGTTATGTACTTTTGCATGTTTATCACCCAGTTGCCATTAGCAAAGATTAACATTGTCTGTCAGCGTTATATCTTATTATGCATATATACGTATGTATAATAATATTTCGTAAAGCGGTGCCCTTGCTTGATTAAATGCCGTCAAGGACGGTTCTGTTTTGCGATGCTACATGTACGTAAATGTATATTAGGTACAATTAAATGTGTATGTGTGTGTATGTGTTTATTATATTTAATCGTTAAGTGGAAGTATGGTCGAGTTTGTTTAAACATTTTGATACTAGTTGGCATGTAACAGGGAGGAGGGGCTATTTCGCATTTTGAGCATAACTTAAAACATAAAATGAATTTTCAGAATAATATGTCAACTTAAAAATTATTATTGTAATTTTTTATTTATAAATTTATTCTATTATATGCAATCGTAAGGGCGGTATCGTCTTTTGAATTTGTATAAGGAAATTTGTACTTTAAATTAAAAGTACAATAAGAACGAGCTTTTGCTCATATACGTATAGATAAATTAATTTAAAAATTTGATTGTAATATTTTGTTGAAAAAAGGCGCGTGGGTGTACGTCTGCCTGTTATCTTTGAGAGCATAGCCTTACAGCACGATGGGTTATTGAGAAATTAGTTTGCTCGCAAAGGGGCTTTATTTTATCTGTTTTATATAATTTAATCGGGGCTCTGAAAAAACGTAATGACGTATGAAAGACTTTCATAGTTCTATTAGTTTGAGACGCCTTTCAAAGAAGCAAATAGACGCAGTTGAAAAAAAAATTCCACATGTTCACTAAATTGCATTTTAGTTCGTGTTATATAAAAAGTAAAGATGTCGACAATGACATGTCTGATATCTATTTTGCCTTACCTGTATATCCGTATACACGGTTGGCAAACTTTTTTCTTGTTACAAAGGAATCAAAATTTTCACTTTCTTTTACCCTTCCCCTCGAACAGCTTTACAAACTATAACTGCTAGATGTTGAGACTTTCTTGGTGTTTTTAAAAACTGTGTTTTCGAGTTATAAACAAAAGTTGAAAATTTCGAATTTTGGCTACATATTTATTTTTTGATTGCTGGTAACATTAGAAAGAAACAACTTTTACGTTTTTCATGCATTTTTTTACCTATAGTACAATAATGTCAGAAAAATTTAAAAAAGTCATCCCGGTTTCCCTTTCAAGTTATAAAATAAACTCGTATTTGGTTGGTATTAATTTTCTATGCTTTAGTTAAAAAGATTATTTTTTCCTCTTTTGAAATATGTATACCTATGTAATATATGGAATGGCATTCGATAAGCAAACATTTAATTACAAAAGAGTCGTTTCGTAGCTAACCCTTGCATTTATCCGGTGGTCATTTTAAAGAGTGTGGTGTTAATTTGAATTTTCCTAATTAACTCCTGCAAAAAATGGTTAACGAAAAATATGACATGCTGGAATGCTTTATTCAAAGTATTAACAATTCTGATATGGCATCAGAATCATTGAAACATATTTCGTTAATTATTCACATAGAAGACAACCAAGGAATCATGGAGGCAAAGAGAAAAAACTGTTGTAAGGTTGAACTTTTCCATAACTATGCAAATCGGATGACAAATTTTGTTGAATGAAATACAGTAAACTAATAGAGTTATTAAAATCTCAATATTTAATTTGAACCTATCTATTAACTTATAAGTCATTTCTAGGTTATGTTAGGTACGTTAGGTTATGTTATAAAAAATTTCGTGTGAAGTTTTTCAAAATGGCGAGAGTAACTTATTTTTGAATAAATTGTATTAGTGGGTCGTCAAAAATTTTATCGGGAGTGGAGAAATTAATTTCAGTTGGTAGAAGTCGCTTGAAAAATTTGCCACAATAAATTATTAATGAGAAAGGCAACTTGCCTTGACACAATGGGAAACATTTGTAGTCATTTACTCAAGTGCATGCTTAAGAAATTGGAAAAATGCAAACGACTAGTTTAAAATGCCATTAAAACGCCAGTTCGTTGCGGATGTATAAGGACTCATAATATAGCTGCTATACGTGACGTTTCAAAGGTATTACGAATAAAAAGAGAAATGTGTCATATGGGTGGTTTCGATTACCAAAAAAAAAAATAAACTGAATGTAAGGTAGAGTATCATGGGTTTTTGATAGCAGTAGTAGAGGATAAAAAGTAATTGCAGCATGTTTTAATTTGGTTTGGAACCATTTTTTTTTTAAATCTGATCCCATTGCAGGATTCGAACTCGCGCTCTCCGGCGTGGTAGATCTACACTCTAACCGCCG